CCCCCCGCCCCAAAAACAAATTCTACAATACAACTTTTATTTCGCTAATACCAGACAGATTGGTGCCAGTTAGACGAAAGATTACAGACGAATCAGTTTGAACAGGAGTTCTATAAGATTGTGTCATAAGATATTCACCAAGGTTAAAATTCCTAGCATAATCAATTTTCGATACACAGAATGCTTTCATTAGAAGCGAGCAGATTACTGATGCTGTTTTAATAGCAAATGAAAGATTGCATGCTATATTAAAAAAAAGGTAAACAGGGGCTGATGTGTAAACTGGACATGGAGAAGGATTACGACCAGGGAAGCCGAAGGTTTCTACTCAATATGAGCCAAAACGAGTTTGGCAGTGAAAAGTTCTTATTGGGGATAAAGTGGTGCGGAATTGCTGTTCATTGGATGAACTTCTATGAGCAATCAAAGTATACATCCTCATCAGTGGATGTCCAGAAGAATGCTTAATGCAGTGTCATATAAAGCTATTCAGGAGTGGATAAGAGGTGTACAGAGAGGATAGAGCATAAATAAGTCAAAGCTTATATCATACTAGTTTTTTCCAGATGACACGGTAATATCTTATAAGGTGAGGAGAATCAACATATGATAAAGAGGCAGCTTGAATGTGAGCTCATAACTTGTAATGAAATATCACCTTTAAGTATCGGGTACAATTCTTTGAAACTGAGCTATCTTTGATGTAAGCAACTTTTTGGCCCTTGAGATGATCTGGCACACAATCTGTATCATATCTGTCAACAATCTCAACAACCTGCAAATGCTTTTTTGGTCAACCATCTAAACCAAACTTATTGATCAAGAATGAAGAGCCAATAGATTATGCAGACTAATGTCTTTAATCAACAGAAGAGCTAACGCTTACACTTTCAGAAGCATGAAGACAGAGAAGTCCAATTGGAATAAAAATGACGCCTATCAAGAAAAACATTGAAATAACCTGTTAAGAAGATGTAGTCAGAGAAGTTCAATACCCTGTTGATTTATAAAAGGAAAGGGACATTTCAGAGAAAGACTTCTATTTTAATTACCCATGCTGGTGTCAGGACAGGTTTACATGCCGGAAGATTTTGTTGAGTAAACTGATATACAGCTGCAAATGTGAGAATGAAACGTCAATATTTAGGCTCTACTTCTGTAATTGGTAGGTTATGAAGTATAAATAGAGTCGCATTACACTAAGCTTACGATATAATACTGAGAAATGAGGAAGAACAATGGGAAACTGATGATAATAATAATAAGAAGAAGAAGAAGAACAATAATAAGAACAATAACATAATATCAACTTGATGAGTACCAATCAGTATAGAACAAAAGCTTAATTGAAACAATCATAACTTGATATTTCGAGTGAAGATGCATCAGCAATCCTAGTGTCACAATCACATAAGAGAGATGGCATAACGAACTCCTCAAACTCACATATTCTCCTCTTATATGCTTATTATAAAGAAACAGACATACCAAGACTCTAGCAACGGCGGTAACCTTTAGTAAGCGAAGTACAATTGGAACCTATCTTCCAAAGAATGCTTTCACGCTACTGAGGAAGCTTATTTAATCCCGTCACTTGACCCAAAAGCAGAATTTATAACCAACAGGTAGACACACCAAACTCTTACTTTATTATGGATGCAGACACTATCTCTCTTCATATGAAAGCCACTCTCAGTTGATCCTATTTCGAAGCGACATAAACCAATTACTTTGAGTTTATATCTTAACATTTCTGTAGAAACCAAGCAAGTCCTCTGATATTAGACATTTTCTTCACATAACTATTGTTAAATTGACCATACTAATATCGTGACTTGATTATATGTCTTGCCTAATGTCTCTATAAGAATCGGGTAAAGTCCCATTAAAGGTCTTGATAAATACGAGAAGGATGGCATAAGGTCACCGCCTAATTCATAATGATAGTATCCTCATAAGTCCTTCCCAGCTAAGCTAAGGGTCAACCAAGGCAACCACGATCTCTATCACCGACTAACACAACCATTAACTCCCCATCACCACATACCAGAAATAACTAATAACCATCCCAAACCACAACCCCACACAATGCTGTTGCAACTCGAAACTCAACCTCTATCAACATAACCCAAAGTACCACCAGCATAACATCAACAAGACCCACAAAAGAGACATTTAAGAAGTATTTTATAACAAGAAGAAATTTTCTCTAGTTTAAACATTGGCAGCAGCTATTGCAAATTTAAAATTTCTGAATATTTAGTTCGGATCTACTCCTTAAAGTACCTGGCTCGCTGAGAGAATTTCTACCCATAAGAACTTCTTCTTTGTTTTTGACTTTTTGTTGGTTTTAATTCATAGTATTCATGATGGAAGGTTATTCTGCTCTATAACATCTGTTAATTTACAGATATGTATAGTGTAATCTTGTCCTACATTGGAAGAGGAGTAATATCTCCTTGTAGTGTATAGCTATAAATAAGGACCTCTTGTATTGTATTTATCATCTAATATCAATAACATATTTTCTCCCGTGCCTTCTCACATGGTATCAGAGCATTAGTGAGAAACTCGTCGCCGTGCAATTTTCCAGCGACTTAGAAGGTTGTCCGTAAGCAAATCACTTTCTGTTGGCGTTGTGCAAAAACCAACACCACAATAAGACTCCTCAGGCTCCGGAGACCAAACCCCAGTCAACCCCACCGGAAAACACACGTCCACGCGCCTGGAAAAGAAAAACAAAATCCGGCGAGATCGGACCCATGCGCCGGCGCGTGAGCACTGTTCCGGCCAGATTTTGAAAAAGTTCCAGTTGAACAGTAGGATTGCCTGGTAATTCCGATCCTACCCTCACTGGTTTTGTTTCATTCCGACCACTTTGAGTTTTTCAGTCAGCTACAGTAGATTCCGGTGTGAACAGTGTTTCCGGCGTGACTTGTTTCTCCCGATCTTCATCCTCTGAGTCTTGGGTCATTGATTCAGGTGCATCAAATCATATTTCTGGTAACAAATCTCTTTTCACTACTATTTCATATTCTCAATCTGTTCCAAAAGTCACAATGGTCAATGGGTCTCAAACCATGGCAACTGCAGTAGGTGAAGCAAGCCCACTTACTTCCTTACCTTTAGATTCAGTCATTTATGTTCCTAATAGTCCTTTTAATCTTATAGATGTTAGTCGCTTAGCCAAATCACTTAAATGCGTTGTTTTATTTCTTGATGACCATGTTTTTATACAGGAACGCAGTACGGGGCGGATCATTGGTACCGGACGTGAATCAAACGGACTTTATTACCTTATCCTTGCTAAATCACATGAACTCACATCTTGTCTTAGAACTTGTCCTGTTACTGATTCACCAGATTATTACATAAACGATTGGGATATCCCAATTTGTCAAAACTTCAGAAAATGGTATCTGGTTTATCTCACTTGTCAGCTCTAGAGTGTGAGTCATGTCAGCTCGGTAAGCATACTCGCTCCCATTTCCCTCGGCTTCTTGATAATCGAGTAGAGTCACCTTTTACTTTAGTCCATTCAGATCTTTGGGGTCCTAGTCGGGTCAGTTCCACCTTGGGATTCCGCTACTTTGTCAGTTTCATTGATGATTATTCTAGGTGCACTTGGATATTTTTGATAAAAAATCGATCTGAGCTGTTTTCTATTTTCCAGACCTTCCACGCTGAAATTCAAAATCAATTTGGGGTTTCTATTCGCACATTTCGTAGTGATAATGGCCGAGAGTATTTGCCTTCCCCATTTCAGTAGTTTATGAAATCTCATGGGATTATTCATCAAACATCTTGTCCGTACACATCTCAACAAAATGGGGTAGCTGAAAGAAAGAATAGACATCTTATTGAAACTGCTCGTACTCTACTCATACAATCTCATGCTCTGTTGCGTTTTTGGGGGATGCAGTTCTTACATCTTGCTATCTTATTAATCGTATGCCATCTTCAGCTATCCAGAACCAAATTTCATTCTCTGTCATGTTTCCCCACTTACCTTTGTTCTCTTTTCCACCCTGTATCTTTGGAAACACTTGTTTTGTCCATAACCTTACTCCAGGAACAGATAAGTTAGCTCCTCGTGCTCTTAAGTGCGTATTTCTGGGTTTCTCAAGAACACAAAAGGGGTATCGATGCTACTCTCTTGACCTCCAACGGTACCTTATGTCCGCTGATGTTACCTTCTTTGAAACCTAATCATACTTTACAGATTCAGGTCATCACTTAGATATTTCTGAGGTACTACCAGTTTCATCTTTTGGAGATTCAATCACTCCAGCTCCACCACCTACAGCTCCAGTTGTAGCTCTACCACCTATAACTCCAGTTCCACCACCTACAGCTCCAGTTGTAGCTCCACCACCTATAGCTCCAGTTCCTCCACATAATCCAGTTCAACCTTCTGCAGCTCCACCACTCTTGACTTATCATCGTTGTCCACATCCAGCATCGGGCCCATGTGATTCACTCCCCGCATCAGATTCTGCACCTACTTCGGACTTGTCTCCTCTTAGTCAACCAATTGCACTCCGCAAAGGTGTACGATCCACACTTAATCCTAATCCCCACTATGTCGGTTTAAGTTATCATCGCCTGTCGTCACCTTATTATGCTTTTATATCTTCTTTGTCCACTGTTTCTATTCCTAAGTTTACAGGTGAGGCACTATCTCATCCATCCAGGATGGCAACATGCTATGATTGACGAGATGTCTGCTTTACATGCGAGTGGCACTTGGGAGCTTGTTCCTCTTCCTGCAGGTAAGTCTACTATTGGTTGTCGTTGGGTTTATGCAGTCAAAGTCGGCCCGGATGGCCAGGTTGATCGGCTTAAGGCTCGTCTTGTTGCAAAAGGATATACTCAGATTTTTGGGCTTGAATATAGTGATACTTTCTCTCCCGTGGCTAAAGTAGCATATGTTTGTCTCTTTTTGTCCATGGCCGTTGTACGGCATTGGCCTCTTTATCAGTTAGACATTAAGAATGCTTTTCTCCACGGTGATCTTGAGGAAGAA